TTCGACAGATCTGGCTGGCTTCCCATGGTGTGCAGTGGTGACTCCCGATAGTAATGGTTTGATGAGGAATTGGGGAATCCAAGGAGCAAGATGTTGTTTGCTGATTGCTGTCGAGTCAATGCTTGTCGTGAATGCTGATCCGACCGACTCAATTGTACAGAATGCTCGTCATGATAAAGATGGAAATTTAGGTTGGGGATCTTCCCCGCAACTGCAGATTCAGAGCATGCGTACCCCGCGGGGTACCGCCGGCTGGCCACGTTCGTCAACCCCGGCCGGCCCGGGAATCGAGCACAGCGCCAGAGACTTACGGGAGTCGAGGAGTCATCGGTAAAGCAGATAGCCGGTCGTCGGTAATCCCAATCCAGAGAATCCCGAAAAATTCTTTGCCGACCTAAATATGATCCCATGGCGTCGACTAGCGGGCTAGAGTCTCTTGGCAAAGCCCCAGCTAAGACGTGGTCTGGGAATTCCCTGAGACTGAAATGCTGTCAGGTCCACATAATGAATCGGAGCTTGCAAAGCACAGAGGGTTTTAACAGAGTCTATTGCCATGTTGATTGTCTAAGCGAGGCCCTTTGACTCCCAGTATACTTTGAGATCTCGAAGAAAGGCCCATTTCACAGCCTTGCCCCATCCGTTCTTCTTCCACTCATTCAGGCCAAGAGGAAAGTGAGGGACGGCGTCTCTAACCGTTGAGTCATGTGCGATGATGACGAAGACGTCGTCGTTGCAGTCAAATTGCTCCAGTGAACCGATGGTTCGCATGGCCAAAGGCACGTCCAGTCCAAACGTAGCCACGTAAAGGGAGTCAGTGGGCTGCCGGCCTCGAGATCGCTGCAATTCATCCCAGGCGCCACCAGGGCAGAGCACGCTGTTACAGTCCTGCGGGTGGCAAGGGTGTGGTGAGATGGACTGGGGTACGGGGAGATACTCTGAAGGTCTCATGATCCCGGCATAGTGACAAACATCGCCACCCATGAGGATAAACGTTGCGGGTGCTGTCGTTGTACGGGCCAACCCACAGAGATGACCAACGGCGTGTCCAGGACTATCCAGCAGGTAGAACGAGCCGTCTCCGAAGTAGTCAAAAGCTGGGAATTCCCCAATCTTGAGATGCTCAGCGTCAGTGCCGTTGAATGAGATTTCCCTCAGGTTACGGCCCCTGAGATGTTAGCAAAGAAGACAACTGGGGTCTGGGCTGATAGAGCTTGGAACCCACGTGTAGTCACTCTCAAGCAAGGGCGAGTCAGGGTTGGCCGGCGCACCCGGCAACATGGCATCCTTGAAACCTGGACCGACAACCAGGTCCGTAGTAGGGGGGAAAGTAGACGGGTCGCCAATGTGGTCCCAGTGCCAGTGACTAGATAATTTTGTCATTTTGATCAGCTGTCGATGTCCTGGCGCCCAGCTTTTCAGCTGCGGTTGAGTCGACGGAGGGTTCCCTTACCTCCAAATTACAGCCTCAATCTCCTTCGCCGCTATGCCGTTTTCCTCGAGGATTTCTGCCACGCTCTTGATGACCTCGATTTTGTAGCCAGTTGTTGGGATATAACCGGCGATGGTGGGAGCGTAGTTGGCGTAATCCTTCCGAATGCCCAAGTCCCAGACAAGCTTCCGACCAGAGGGGTGTTCAATGAGGAAGGACAGTGATGGAGATGTGGGGAAGGTCTCGAGGCCTGGTACGTCTGGTGCCATGAATCTCTTGAGAATGGCTGGTCCAAAGTTGACCGGGTTGATCATCTTGACCGACACCGACGTCTGCCCCGAGGGCAGCTCTAGCTTGTGTTGAGACATGTCCGCTGTCATGGGTTGGCCAAGAAGAGAACAGGAACTTTGCGCCTCACGAGAATGACCGGTGCTCGAGCAACTGTTAGTCAATTTGAAGTTCTAAATTATCGGCGATTCATATTTCGGTGGATAAGCAAGGTCGAACTCAGCGCCCCATCGTAACCCCCCCAAGCCGGGTTCGGGATGAAGCCAGGTCTCGCCGGAATGTCGGGGCCGGGCTAAGCCCGTCACGGACACCCACCCACGCGGCTATACCCTTGGGGGTTTACCGTTGACCCCAAACCCCCTCCTCTTCATCTTCACTATTGTTTTAGGCGCAGGCCTAGATGCAGGCCCAGGGACGCCAGGGCTCTGGGCGCCACCATGCCCGATTCCAGTCAACCGTACCACACGTGGTCCCCAAGTTCCTCAACACACTTGGGACGTCGATGCCGGTCCAATGGGCACAAGGTCCAACTCGGCTCCAGGTCCATACCCCAGGTTTGACAAGAATCCGGGGCCCCGGGGGGTTTGAGCTGCATCACATCGCAAGTTCGAGATTGTTGATATCTAGATCCCCGACCCGCCGATCTTTCTGATCTCGAGTTCTTCAGTCCCGACGAAGACAACGGGAGTCGAACACAGAAACGTCAAGTCCAAGTCTCATACCCCATCCTTTCTACTTCACTCAAACTCCCAACTCCCCACTCCCAACATGGCCTCAGACAAGAACAGTGAGAGCATCGGCCATGTGGAAGGTCCCGATGACTCGGGCGGCGTCAAGGAGTTGACGCCGGTTGACACGGTGCACAATGACGAGGCGCTGAAGGTGTTGGCCGACTACCACGGTGACAGCGAGTGGACGGAGAAGGAAGAGAAGAGGCTGCGCCGCAAGGTTGACTGGAGACTTATGCCGGTTCTCTGCGCAACCTATGGCTTGCAGTACTACGACAAGGCCATGCTGTCCCAGGCTGTGAGTTCACGATCCTCGCAACTCCTTAGCGTTTTCAGTGTTGTTGACAGTTTGTGTCTCTGCAGGCTTTGTTCGGGCTGAGGCAAGACCTCAACCTGACGGTCAGTGACCGTTACTCTTGGTCAGCGTCCATCTTCTACCTGGGCTTCATCGTTGGTGCCTACCCGGCCATGGTCCTCGCTCAGAAGTTCCCCGTCGAGAGGGTCGCCTCTGCCATTGTCACGCTCTGGGGCATCTGTCTCATCCTGACGACGGTTTGCAAGGACTACAAGGGCATCTATGCGCAGCGATTCTTCCTGGGGTTCCTCGAGAGCGGCATCAGTCCCATGTTCATGCTCATCGTCGGAAGCTGGTACAAGAAGAATGAACAAGCCATGCGCATGGGGTACGTGTAGACGTTGCTTGCTGATGAATGCTGTGGCGGGCTGTTTGCTGACGCTGGGTGTGACAGAATCTGGTACTCCTGCACGGGCTACGTGTCCATGTTCTCGCCTCTGATCAACTATGGGTTCGGCTCCATCAACCCGACGGGGTCTTCGTGGCGCTACATGTTCTACTTTGCAGGCGGCCTCACCATTGTCTGGGGCATCGCGCTGCTCTTCGTGCTGCCGCCCGACCCGATCCGGGCGCGGGGCTTCGACGAGCGCGAGCGCTACCTGCTCGTGGCGCGGCTGCGGACCAACAACTCGGGCGTGCGCAACAAGCACTACAAGCTGGACCAGGTGGCGGAGCTGGCGACGGACGTCAAGTTCTGGATCGTCTTCGCCATGGCGTTCCTCTGCATGATCGCCAACGGGCCCATCTCGACGTTTGTGCCCATCATCATCAACGGCTTCGGCTTCAGCACGCTGCACTCGCTGCTGCTCGTGATCCCGGCGGGCGCGTACGCCGGCACGCTGATGCTCGTGTTCCCGTACCTCGCCATGCGCTTCCCCGGCATCCGCACGTGGCTCATCCTCGCGGCGCAGATGGGCACGACGCTCGCGGCGCTGCTGCTGTGGCTGCTGCCGCTGCGGCAGAAGGGCGCGCTGCTCTTCGCCGCCTACATCCTGCCGTCGGTCGGCGGCGGCTACGCCGTGCTCATGAGCCTGCAGATTGCCAACACGGCGGGCTACACGAAGCGGTCCATGGCCTCGTCCGGCCTCTACATTGGCTACTGCCTCGGCAACTTTGTCGGCCCGCTCGTCTTCAAGAAGCAGGACGCGCCGCGCTATACGCCTGGCTTTACGGTTGTTGTCATCACGTCTGTCATTGCTGGTCTGCTGGCTGTCGTGTACCGCTTCGTGTGTGTCTGGGACAACCGCCGGCGTGACAAGAGCGGTGTCACCGAGGGTTTCGACCACGCGTATGAGGATGATCTCACGGATGTCAAGGTAAGCAGCTTCCCTCGGATCTATGTATCGTTGGCAGTGACTGATTTTCTTGCCTACAGAACCCTCAATTCCGCTACATCCTTTAAATGTAAACAGGGTCGTGTTTGAGTAGCTGTTGTGACCATGGGGTCTTGATACCTAGGTATGGGTCTTGATACCTAGGTATGGGTCTTGATACCTAGGTATGGGTCTTGATACTCAGGTATATGGAAATGGAACCATGGTCTTGTCAGAGACGTTGGGCGGCGTGGCATTCGTAGATAGTACCAACTTGGGGATCAGGTCATTACCACTACTGCTGTCTTCCATGAGCACTTGCGTGAAAACTGTGACTCGGGCGTGCGACTCGGATCCTAAGGCCTGCCTACCTACCTTACCTTAAGGTACCAGGTAGGTAGGTACCTTACCTCAAGGTACCAGGTACTGTAGGTGGCACCTAGTCACTGGACTTGGGTCAACAGCACGGCGTACCTTGGTGGCCAAGACGCCCTTGTGGCATGTCCCAGGAAACCCTCCAGCGCCCACGCCACATGCCGCCAGCGTGTCTTGGCGCTCTTGGCGCGTTGTTCTAGCGCTCAACAGACCCTGCCTGGCCCGTATACGCAGGGGCCTTAGGGGCCTCAGGCCTCAGGGCCTTAGGGGCCTCAGGGCCTCTGTACCTCTGCACCTCACCTCAGCCTCCCCCCGCGTGACCCCCTTGTCCCTTCCACCACTCCCCGCACTTCCTTCAGCTGGTGCGGTGCCTCTTCATCTTGGTAATACCTGTACCACTCCCCCTCCACCTCCACGCTCTCGCCTATCCCTTCTCGTCATCCAACCTCTGCAGAGCCGACCATCCCGAGAGTGCCTGTGCCATCGACCTCTGAGTGTAGAGAACAATCGAAATGCCAGGCGATGCTGTCACAGACTGGCTGTCCTTTGACGCCCAACAGCCCAAGAAGCGCAGAGCCGAGCTGGTGTGCTTCGGCTGCCACAATAAGAAGATCAAATGCGACCTTCAGGTATGTGCCGTACATCGACCTCAGCAGCACCAAGCAGCTTGCAGATGCATCAAAAATGCTGGACGGCTTGCTGATGTACCCTATGAACAGGTTCGCAAACGACACGGCCACGATAACTGCACCCATTGCGCCACGGCAGACAAGCAATGCCAGACTCGGCCGTCCAAAAGAATCAAGCGACGCCATGCTGCACCTGTGACGCCGGCACACAAGTCCCCGAAGCCGCCGACGCCGAGTGTGAGTGTCCCTCCCATTGTCGAGATGCCGGAGAACGTGCCACAGGTGCCACAGGGGCCGCAGGAGCCGCAGGGGCCAGAAGATGGCCATCATCATCGTCTCGACGACCTCGCCGCCGCCGCCAGTCTACCCATCTTCGACACCATCCATGTTTCGCCGCCAGATCCAGATGTTGCAGCAACAGACCCTGGCCATCGCGAGACGAGTGTTCACCTGCCGAGGAGGACCTCCACCCACCACTTCTTCGCTCCACCACAACAAGTCCTGTCCCCGTCACAACGCTCAGCGGCCAGCACCACGCGCAGTGACGCTCTGGCTCAGAGCCAGAGCCAGACTGGCGATGTCGATACCGGCTTCCTCCAAGTGTTTGGGCCCGAAAACCAGCACGACGCCGAGAAGCAGGCGATCGAGGCCTCTTTTGAGCCGAAAGCCGGCTTTCCGAGCCTGCGACAGCAGGATCTCCAGGAAAGCTTCATCGACACGTACTGGGAGTATTGCTACACCTGGTGCCCCGTCCTGGATCGCGACTGTCTCCCAGAAGAGATGGCCCAATCACCTCTGCTTGCCAATGCCCTCGCAACGGCGGCCAGCCATGTTCAACCGCCATTGCTACCGCACGAGGGCCCTGCCGAGTATTACCGGAGGGCAAAAGCCCTATTCTACGACGACGAGGAGCTCGACGGCATCACCAGCATCAAGTCGATCGCCTTGTTCTACTGGTGGGCGCCGCGACCCCCTACCGTCACGCACCGCCACTCGTCTTGGTGGTGGACATCGGTGCTCATCCGACACGCCCAGCAGATGAACATTCACCGCGAGCCGAGCGCATCCCAAACAACATTGTCTGCGCAAGACATGAGCCTCCGGCGTAGGATCTGGTGGACTGCTTTCGTGAGTGGACATGGAGGAAGCGCCCGGACCGTCGTATTTCCAACTAACCTCCGAAACAGGCCCGAGAACGACTGACGGCTCTTTGCCAGAGCAAGCCTGCCATCATCGACCCTCGCGACTGCACCATACGCGAAGCCACGTTGGAAGACTTCCCAAGCGACCCCCAGAGTCAGCGGAAAGGCGAAATCTTCATCCACTGGGTGCGCCTCTGCGCCATCATGGGCCGCATCGCCAAAAAGCTTGTCTCGATCCGGCGGCATCTCGACGCCCAGCGTGCTCGAAAACCACCGACAGGAGCTCGTCAACTGGGTCAACTCCTTGCCGCCTCATCTCCAACTCCCCATCGGCGCAGCGAGGACGTATGCCTTTGACAAGGACGTGCACCAGCTTCACCTGCCCTATCTCACCACCATCATCATTCTCTACATGAAACGCTCGGCACAAACCATTCCGGAGGCTCTGCCACCCGCCATCCTGGCCGCATCGTGCATCGTTCGCATCCTCAAAGACATTTTGAATCGAGGCAATGTGCGGTTCTTGATGGCCATCACATGTTGGTACACGGGTACGGCTTTCATCGCGCTCCAACAGGCCCGCTCCATCGAGCACCTAGCCCGAGACGCCGACCAAGGCCTCGACGTCCTCGTGCGGACAGCAGACCAGCTCCAGAACATGTGGGCGTCCGCCAACGTCATCCGCCAGGGCTTCCAGCGCATGCTCAACGGGTCGAATCTCTCTGCGAAGCACGGCATGCCGAGGCAGGCGCCCGATCTGACCGCGCCGGTGCAGGCCGTCGGCAATGCTGCATCTCACGCCAGCTTTATGGGCGTCGACGCCTTGCGCGGGCCCGCGTCCACCGAAGCGATCCCCGAATACTTTGGCGACTTTGACTGGACGGCTCTGTTTCCGTTTGTCACGCGCGAGACGAGCAGCATTGCTGACAGTCTGCTGAAGAACAAGGCCGAGGGCAACGAGACGAGGGGGTTTCCCTCGCCGACCAACTTTTTGTTCCACGACTCTCTGATGATACAGTATGATGACCTGTTTGATACGGCCGCGGATTTTGGGATGAACTTTACCATGCCTCAGTAGGGACATGTGTGCTATGCGATCACTCATGGTCTGTCGCGTGATGCAAAATGCTCGGTGATTCAGTCATAGTATGTCAAGGGAAAACAAAACCTGATGCAAAAACTTGAATCAACACGGTATCCATGTTCCATCTTCCCATCTACTCAACACAACCTTTTCCCTCCCCACAAGCCCTCATTGTGACTTGCCGCCCTCCTCATACGGCACCTCGGCCTTCTCCACATACCACGACAGGTCGCTCTTGGGGTCCATCTCCCACTCGGTGAAGCCGTTGCCCATGAAGCGGAACGGGTTGGCCGTGTTGTACGTGACGTCAAAGTCCTCGCCGCGAATGTCGCCCAGCATCCTGTTAAACAGGTGGGCGCTGCCGCCAAACAGGGCCGTGACGCGGCCGTCGACGCGGTTGCGCTTGTACCAGCTCTTGCAGGCGCCGGTCCAGACGAGCGTCTTGTGCACCTCGTCGCCGTAGCGCATAAAGGCGTCGGCGACGGCCTGCTTGGGCGTCACGTACCGGATGTCCTCGGTCGCCATCTTCCTGATCCACTTGACAAAGTAGTCGCCCGTCCAGTTGAGCGACTCGACCAGCGACCCGTGGCCGCCGAGGCAGTTGGGGCCCATCATCATGAAGTAGTTGGGGAAGTCGGGCACCGCGACCGAGAGGTACGAGTCGGGCTCCTCGGCCCAGCGCGTCGCGAGGTCGATCTTGGACTTGCCGATGACGGGGTAGCGGGGACGGTGGGAGACGTCGAAGCCCGTGGCGCAGACGACTGGGCAGAGTTAGCATGGGATTTTGGTACAGAACAAGAAAGAAGGAAAGAAAGAGAGAAGGAAAGAAAGAGAGAAAGGCGGCTGGACGGCTACGTACTGACGTCGCACTCGTAGAACTTTCCGTCGGCCGTGTGCACGCCGTTCTCGGCCACGCGCGTGATGCCGCTGTTGGTGACGCTGCAGTTGGGCCGCAGGAAGGACTCGAGGTAGCCCGGGCCGGGCGTGATGCGGCGGCAGCCGAGCTCCCACGTGGGGATCAGGGTGGCGCAGAGCTCCGGGTCGTGGCCGAGCTTGTCGGCCATCTGCTCGGCCGCCATCTTCATGCCCTGCCGGTTGTTCTCGCCCTTGATGAAGATGTAGAACGACTTGTTGGTGCGCGAGATGATGCCCTTGCGGTGCTGCAGGTGGAAGTCCGGGTCGCGGAAGCGCTTGCGCTCGTCGTCCGTGTAGCGCGGGTTGGGGTCCGGGTCGTCGCGGCCGAGGTGCTTGGACGGCGGCGCGCGGTAGTACACCCACGCCGGCCCGCGGATGAAGTTCTTGACGTCCGTGCCGGGCAGCTTGGCCATCTGCGGCACAATCTGGATGCCCGAGGAGCCGTTGCCGATGACGGCGATCCTCTTGCCGGCGTAGTCGTAGTTGTGCTCCCACGCCGCCGAGTGCGTGAGGTGGCCCTTGAAGTCCCGCAGGCCGGGGACCTCGGGCCACGACTCGTGCACGAGGACGCCCTGCGCCGAGATGAGAACGTGGCAGTGCTCGACGCGTCGCACGCCCTCGTGCTCCACGGTCACCTGCCACTGGCCGGAGTCTTCTTGCCAGATGGCGTCGACAACCTTGGTGTTGAGGTGAAGATCGCGGTCGAGATTCCACTTCTTCACCGTCGCCTTGATGTACGCTAGGATGTCCGGGCCGCTGGCGTAGAAGCGCGACCAATCTGGGTTGGGGTCAAAAGGAAACGCCTGTCTCATGTCAGTACACACACACGCCGCCAAGCTCCAGACCTTGGTTCAGAAGGCCACTGACGTAGATGTGTGCGGGCACGTCGCACTGCACGCCAGGATAGTCATTCACGAACCACGTGCCGCCAACTTCAGACCGAGCCTCGAAGATCTTGTGCTCGACAATGTCCCTCATCTCGGGGAACCTGTGCTGGAACTTGTGGGCCATGAGAAGGCCGGAGAAACCCGCGCCAATGGTGATGACCTTGATCTTTCTTGGTGTGTAGGCGTACTCGGAGCTGAGCTTGAAGGGATCCTCGACGACCCCGTTCGCGGTGCTGCGGCCGTTGGTGACAGGCCGTTGGAAGCCATTTGTCAAGACTTCTGGCAACTCTGCTGCTGGCATGCGGGGAATCTCTGCGTCTGTCGGGGTACTGATGAGGTTGAACGAACTTGGGTTAACTGGCGGAGCCACTGGGACTTCAACGGGGGCTGTCATGATGGCTGAGGTGGAGGGAGCTGGCTCAGATGGGGGGAAAAGGTGGATTGAATTGCTGTAGTGAGCGTCGTGACTTTGAATTTCAATTCAAGAAGGAAGAGAGACAACCAATGCTCCTCTTAACAGAAACCAGTTGGAGGGAATGCAGAAGTGAGCTCCATCATCTTTCCACTATTCGCCTTGGGGTAGGCGCTGGAGCCCGCATCGCGCCATGCTGCCCTCGGCAACCAGAGACAGACAGGTGCCCTTTGCGCCGATTCAACATGGTTCAATCAGCTTGCCCACACGCTAACTGGAGGTCAACGACAGCCGCATTGCCACTGAGGGGAGCATTGCCGAGAGAGTGTGGCCATCTCGACCTCTGTTCGGCATAACTTTTCCCCTCAGTCAGGAGATGGCAAGCAATGCCGGTGGCCCAGCTCAGGTGACTTCGGCATGGCACGGTTATCCCAAAACGGCTTGATGCTGTGTCTCGAGGACGACGATGCCGAGTGGAAAGCCCCGCCCCCGCTTCCCCACGCTCCAACCCCAGGACAGCCGAAGAGCCGGCGCGGGGTTCCGTGTCGGCCGTGTCGGCGCCGCAACGCTTCTTGTCCCGAGGATGCTCATGAGGGTACATGTATGAATGAAAACACCGCCATACACGAGAAGACTCCGAATTGGTCATTCCGCACCTCAACCGCCGTTTGACCCCTGCACCCGTCAACAGACCACCCACAATGCCTCTTCCGCCCTACAAGTACACCGGCCCGATTGACCACACCGTGGTCCCGGACCGCAGCAAGGTCATCGGCAAGTCCGTCATCGTAACCGGCGGCGCAAATGGCATGGGAGAAGAATGCGTACGCCAGTTCGTCGCCGCAGGTGCCTTCGTCACAATCGGCGACGTCAACGATCGTGGGACTGAGCTCGAGAAGGAGCTCAACGCCAAGGGCAAATGCTGCGTCTTCGTCAAGTGCGACATTCGAGACTGGGAGCAGCAGAAGGCCATGTTCCAGACGGCCAAAGACCTCAGTCCCTCAAAGAGTGTCGACATTGTCATTGCGAATGCAGGCATCAGCAGGAGTTCCGGCGACAGTCTGTGGAACCTCGACGATCCGAATTCGGAGCCTACCAAGCCAGATCTCAACATTGTCGATGTAAATCTTCGCGGCAGCTTGTATACTTGGAAGCTGGCCGTGCATTACTTCCGACAGCAGCCTGACAGCGAGGAGCGGGATCGATGCTTTATCATTACCGGAAGCATGGTGGGCTGGATTGACTCACCGGGCAACTGGGAGTACACGTCGACAAAGTATGGCCTGCACGGCTTCATGCGCACCGCGAGACGGAACAGTTGGGAGCAGGGTATTCGCATTGTGTATGTAGCGCCTTGCTGGATCAAGAGCGCAATCAGAACGGCAGAATATGAGAAGTGGCTCATGGACAGGGGCGTTGAGTTTGGCGAACAAGAAGACGTTGGAGGCTGCATGATGCGTGTTGCTTGCGACAAGTCAATCAACGGTACGTCATTCTTTGCGATACCCTGGGGAAAAGTCCTGGTCGCTGACACGGCATGTATAGGGCGCTCGTTGATGATTACGCCTCGGTCAATGGCCAAGGAGGGCTTCATGGACATCAACAGAGACGACTTTCTGGACACGCCAGAAGATGCGTATCTGAAGAAAGTGCAGCAGAACCAGCTGGTGATCATTGAGGACAAGTGGAGAGACGATTTCAAAGTGCGAATCTACAAGGAGTGAAGGTGTACAAGTCCACGAGCATTTTGGCAAGACTGTTACAGCATGCATCAAAAGGAACCATACAACTACGACATGCTCACCAGCATGGAACTCAACTATGAGCCCCTCTGCTGTGAGACTTAGAATAGCCCAGAAATTACAATGGTGCTCAACCCTGTGTTCTGCTGCTTTGTCGATTGTTTCGGCTTCCGAACGGATCTCTGCTAGGTCTGGGGGGTTTAGCTGTATATTATTCCCGGCAAAGTCTTCTTCGAGAGCATGTTCGGTGTTTGCACTATTTCAACATATTTTGATGATGACATCGGATCCAAAGTACTACTTTACCTGGAAAGGAACTCGCTAGAGCTACTGGACACGTAAAGGTTCAAGCGACAACAGGATGAAATGTTTGTTTAAATGCCTGGACTACAGTGAACTGGTAAAATGTTCTTCAAAAGCACGTTTGGTTCAATTCAAAGGTAATACAATCCAATGCTTCTGAATCTGCAGTGGCCGGCGCTACAAGGGCCATCTTAGGGTAACCGCCATTGGATCCGCCTCGGGCTTTCTCACAAATCTATACTCTGTCGGGACCCTCTATGATGCAGTACATAGCCTTGAAGCCTTACCATGTACGTATGTTGGCTATCATTGCTAGGCAAACACTTGTTCACAATGCTCCATTGACCATACATGTGCTCCTGTAGAAAGGGTATAGTGCGAAAGGCTTAATCTCCTACCTGAGATAGCTATACCGTTCGTGGCCGAAGAACTAGATCTTGACATCAGGTCTAAGTACAGCTGTCTCTTTTGCGATTCAGCAGTTACGGTCTTCGCAAACCACGTACGAGAAATACTTTTACGAACCCCGTTCAAAGAGGGTGGCAGGGCGTTCGAACCGACTTGGTGCTCTGAGTTGGGCGGCGAACAAAGGATAAGAAGTATAGAATCAGCAGCAGAGTCAGATTATCAACGCAAAATATATTTCGACTGCAGCAGAAGAAGTTCAAGTGGAAGAGGGAGCCATGCTGCGACGATCTGACTTCGTCTTATGTTATAGAAGCCGTCTTTTTGCCCTGTGGCCACACCGTAGTAGCCACCAGCCCAGACAAGCCAGCTCAGCTCCAGATCAACAGACTAACCTGTCTATGCTGCCACAAACATTGATACACTGCCTTGAAGAAAATAACCTTTAATTACGCCGCTGGTCTCAGAATACTCAGCCGCCATTATGATATAGGTACTTCCACAGGCAACTTCTCAAAGATGCTTCAAGTTCCATTTGTCTACAAAAGTTATTCTGCTCAAGCACTGTGTTAAACACCTGTTCCATATTGACTTCACATACGCTGCCCATAGGAAGAATTCGAGAAACCAAAAAGCTGACCCTCCGTGCAACGAAATAAGCTTTACAATGGAGAAATGGAGGTAGAGGGCACGAAAATGCAGCGTCTGAGCTGCAATTGCATAGTTCCAATGATTTTGAAGAGTATCTGGGCCACACTTGTGTTACTGAAGTTTCAGGTTATCTCACGAGGTTCTCATGAGCATTAGGACCCCATGGCGAGGAGGCCGGTCGCGTTCAATTTGGAACAAAGACACACAGTCCTATACCTGATTCTAAATCTCAAGGCTTTTACCCCAGCTGAGTTCAGTGGAACAGGTTTCTAGACCACTTTTGTAGGTAATGCCCCTTAAACATGGTCGAACCGATCCCTGGTCGTAACCCCAACCCTGAACGATTACATAATACCCAACCATCCCCTGTCCCCAGATATGCTTCCCCGCGTCAACACCACGTGATTGTCCCATTGGACGTCGCATCATGATCCGGTCCAGCTGGCCGCTTTCGTCTCAAGCACGTCGACCATCTGCCTCATCATCTCTTCATTCTTGGACATCCGTTCGCAGCATAGAATCATCTCTCTTGAACGACTTAAACTCGAGAAAAGCATTGAACTTGTCGGGTTTTCGTTCGTCGACCTCATCTCCATTGCCTCCAACCATAAGCAATCCGGCTTCATCGGAGTACAGATCGTGACGCGGCCGCCAACGTCACAACTGACCTCATCGTCCCTCCACAAAGTATCACGGAAACATCACCTGCCACGCCGACAAAGCCTTCTCCACAATGGTCGCCAAGAAGACAGGCTCATCGGGCGAGGCCCTCCCCGTCCGGGTCGTCACCTTCAACGTCCGCTATGCTGCACCGCGGCCCATGCCCAACGAAAAGTCCTGGCAGGTCCGCTGCCCGAAGATCTGCACGCAGCTTGACTTCATCACGCGCGGCCACGACTCGCCGTTCCTCTGCCTCCAGGAGGTTCTCTACCCGCAGCTCCTGGACATCCAGGCCGGCCTCGGCGAGGGCTGGGGGTACGTCGGCATCGGCCGCGACGATGGCGACCGGCTCGGCGAGCTCTCGCCCGTGTTCTACCGCGTCGACACGTGGAAATGCGAAGTGTTCAAAAACTACTGGCTCAGCGAGACGCCCGACCGACCGTCAAAGGGATGGGACGCGGCGCTGCCGCGCATCGTGACGGTGGGCGAGTTTGTGCACAAGCGAACCGGCCAGAGGGCTGTTGTCATGAGCACGCACTTTGACCACCTTGGCGTAGTGGCGCGCGAGCAGAGCGCCAAGCTCATCCTGCGCATCGCAGCCCAGTGGGCCGAGGAGCGAGCCTCAAGCCCGCCCGCGGCTGTCATCCTCGGCGGCGACTTCAACAGCAACCCCAGCGACAACGCCTACAAGAGCATGGTCGCGAAAGGGTCCGGCATGGCCGACGCTCATGCTCTGGTGCCCGCGGAAAAGAGGTACGGAAACGAGCTGACTTACACTTCATTCGATGAGCCGGACCAGCAGGCTGTGAGGATCGACTTCATCTTTGTCAAGGTGCCGTCCGATGTCAAGGTAACCACCTTTGGCGTTCTGACCAATCGGTTTGATGACGGTGTGTTCCTGTCAGATCATCGACCTGTCGTTGCTGATTTGGAGGTGCGAGCTGCGAAGGGTAGCAGTGCCAGCTCATGAGCCAGAATGAACGGGCAGGTGGCGGAGGATGCAGTGTCGATTTGTTATCCAGAATGGCACATCGTTGACCTGACGCTTTGCTCCGATGCCCGAGCACCGTGCGAAACAGACTCCGCGTGTGACGTGCCGCAAATCTCGAGTAACCTCGATGAGGCACCTCATGTCTCTAACATCGAGAGGACCTGGGTTTCACTGCTGACGTCGTCTCGCACTCCCCACGCAGCGCTGGCTGTTGAATCCAAGGTCATGAC